TTTAGAATATATTTAAAATTTTCATAAAAATAAAATAATAATAATCATAGTTTAAATATGTAAAATAAAAAAAGTATTAAATACTAAATAAAAGATTAAAAATTATATATGATGTAGGCATAGTAAGATAATCACAATAATTAAATGTACCTACAGACCTATATAAAAACATGTGACAATATAACTACATATACATACATATACATATGAATACACGTACAAATATATATTTGTACCCATTATGATAAGAATCGACATTTCAAGTGTATATCCCACAACATTAATGTTTTTAGGGAATTTTAAATTTGCTTTTATGTCAAAACTTGAAAATAAGTTCGTTTCTTTCATTCAACAATTGGCCAGCATTTTCTTTTAATTATTATGATTTTCTCTTGTATGCAAAGATTGCATGTGTTCCGGAAGTCGTTAGGTGTTTGAGACTGAGAGATGATATCCCATTTAATTTGTGGGATGAAGCCGCTATCGTTAAGTGTCCAATAGCGCTCACATAGAGCAGTTTAGTGTATTAAAGTGGCATTGTAGAAGTAATTCCAGTGATTGTGGAGTCTCTTGCTGCAACTCCCAGGGGATATCCCGATGTATACTTTTTTGTCATTAATATTTTCTTTTGGAAAGATGGTAGCTTGGTATGCTACATTTTCCGAATTACAGATACGTCCAACTGGGCAGCTTCTAAATTTAATCGATAAACATTTTAATCACAACAAGCCTCTACAAAGTATATTCAATAGAAAAACTCTAAAAATTAGTTATTCCTGCACTAACAATATATATAATATTATTGACTGACATAACAATCAAATATTAACGGCAACACACCAGAAAATAAGCCCTCTTTTAATTGTAGAACCGGAACGAACTGGGCAGTTGCAGGTATCAGGTGCTTAAACACAATTTTCAAGCCACGTGCCTAATTGCCATTAAGCCTGAAACAGACTGTCAGCGCTATGTTTTGACCACAACATTTACTATATATACACACACACACACACATATATATATATATATATATATATATATATATATATATATATATATTTATATATATATATATATATATATATATATATATATAGAGAGAGAGAGAGAGAGAGAGATCATATTATATTTTTATTATAAGAGCTGATGGTAAAAAATATTTTAAAATCGATTCCAAAAAGCTTTCATATTTTAATACTATGATCGTATTTCTTCAGGCGATGGTAAGTTATATATATATATATATATATATATATATATTACCAATTTTTGACTGGTAGGGATAATACCAAGGAAATATATTAATCCAGGGAAATCTCAACGTTGACTACAGAGAATAATAATAATAATAATAATAATAATAATAATAATAATAATAATAATAATAATAATAAAGAAGAAAACCTTAAAGATTCATTTCGGTTAGAAATAGAAATTTTAAAATTTTAAATCGAATTAAATTATAACCGAAATGAATCTTTATGGTTTTCTTCTTGATTATTATATATATATATATATATATATATATATATATATATATATATATATAGAGAGAGAGAGAGAGAGAGAGAGAGAGAGATAAAGATAAAAGGAAAACTTTTGTCAGGTGAGGGACTTTATAAAGTCCCTCAGAGGACGAAACGCGTGGAAGAAGATACGTTTTACTTTGTCTTTATTCATATCGTCCTCATACAGATACACTCTAACTGAATTGTTTGCATATATACATATATTTATGTATGTGCGTGTGTTTGTGTGTGTGTGTGTATGCGTGTGTGTGTGTGTGATTTCTTGTTATTTGTGTGTGTCGGAGTGGAAAATAACGGGTAACCCTAGCTTTGAACATGTTATGGTTGATCGGTGTAACATCCTCTTGGCCGTCAGTTTCACAGCACAGTGGTTCGATGGTTCGCAGGAAGAAACTGTTCGAGTGGAATGTGCGTGTTCTCGCCGTGAAGGATTGACTTAGCCGCACCATGGAATGTAGTTCGTGCACACTTTCCGTTGAAATAGATATATATATATATATATATATATATATATATATATATATATATATATATATATATATATATATATATATATATATATATATATAGTTTATGCAAAACTAGGTAATCCGCATGGGTCGACCCAAGGAGGATGGTATCCGGAGAGCTCAAAGTAAGTTCAGAGCAGATATGTTTGAATAAAAACAGACCACTTTATTTTTGTTCCCTTTGCCTTTGGAAATATTACTATGCACGCATGAACGCCAACACATGACAGTATGTCTACAACTATAGTATTGTACTTGAACACTGATGCACCTGTTGATATGTACATGTATATGTTTTTATATGGAAAGAGTGCCATACAAGATTTTTTTATGTGAGTGTGGAGGTGTACAATTAGATGGGTACCTATATGTTTTGCCATAGATATGGAAGAGCGAGTAATATATGTGTAGAGATATGTATAATTATACGATTTGGGTATCCATTGCGTAATTAAATATTGATATAGTCTTCGAATGCAGGCATAAGTGGGTGTATGGGTGGACATGAGGATAGAGACATGTACGTGTGTATATATGTGTGCGTGCATATGTACGCATATATATGTATGTGGATATATTGCATATTATGTATGTATATGCATGTATGTGTGTGTATGTGTATGTGTGTATGTATGTATAAATATCTGTGTGTATGTGTATATGTGTATACATATATGTGTGTAAATGTATATATATGTGCGTATGTACATGGATGTATATGTATATGGATATGCAGGTGATTTTATGTGTATATATGTAAGTATAAGTATATGTGTAGATATGTATGTAGATATGTGGGTATGTGTTTCTCTGCAGGTGTATACGTGTAAATATGGGAATATACATATAGTTTTTCGTGTGGATGTGTGTGCAGGTGTATATAAGAACTCATAGGTATATAGTAAGATATAGGTATGTGGATATAGATAGGGGTTCGGACATGTGTGGAAGTGTATATGAGTATGGATATATAAAAGAGTGTAAAAGAAGGACCTAATTTTTTCCTAGTAATGTTTTATCCAAATCTCTCCTCTAATATTCTCCAATTGGAAGTGAGTTTAAATAACACGGAGGTAAAGTTTAAATTGGTAATTTAATTTAAATTGAAATATACTACCCTTTAACAATTAGTATTGACGATAAAGTTATTTAAATTGGAAGAACCTTTGATAATTATGTAGGTATATTAAAAAAAGTCACGAGTTCAATCTATGAACAAATCTCAAACGAATAGATGTCAACTGAATAATCAACAAGAAAAAGGTATATGTATAGATATATAGAACATTGTAAAAGAAGGACCTAACTCTCTGGTAAAAATCCGTTATCCAATTTTCTCCTCTAATAATATTCTCCAATTGAAAGTGAGTTTAAATAAATAATGCGGAGGTAAACTTTAAATTGATAATTTAATTTAAATTGAAATATATTACCCTTTAATAATCATTATTGATGATAAAATTATTTAAATTGAAATAACCGTTGATAATTAGGTACCTAAAAACAATCACGAGTTTATTTAATTAATGAACAAAAATCAAACGAATAGATGTCAACTTAACAATCAATAAGATAAAAGTTTAGAAAAATAAAAAAGATTACTAAATATAAAATGGATTACTCTTTCAACGTACTTTCCATGAGTTTTTCCAATCGACCGTTTCATAGAAAATACCCAAAACTCCAACGACCTTCAAATTAAATTCTTCGTAGATTGTTTAGACATTTAGATTTATATCAAACCTTAACCTCCCAAATATGCCCTTTAAAGTAAGGCGAATTAACAGCGTCTAAGAATTTGAATGATACCTGCCCTCGTGGAATGTAATTTATTAGGGTTGTTGTAGCTTCTTCCCTTAATGTCGGTCTTCTCCCTCACCCCTTACCCATCTATATCTAGAGACAATACGCGTTAAGTTTAAGCGACGTCTAGCCTACACAGAGTGGGGTTAAGAATAAGAAATTGAAATGGTACATCTAATCCACCCATATCTTCTCTCCCACCTCACTTCCTCACTTCGTTAATTTTACATATGCTTGATGCGGTCCGTCAAAAATGTGTGAATTTCTTTTCATTTTTCATTTCAACGTTTGGAAGTAAAGTCTGATGATCCAGAGCCCTGTTAAAGGGGTTGTGGTGAAATAACTTATTACATGGAACCTTAAAGTGGTCTGTTTTTATTCAAAAAAAAGAAAAAAAAAATATATATATATATATATTATCCAATCTGGTTAGAGATTTGTTTTCCGTTGATAAAAGGTCGATGGTTTCCGAAAATGGAATCAACCTAGCAAGATTGATTTTATTTAAATGCTCTCCAAGGATTTTCTTTTTCTATGAATTCGGTCCTGTTTCGCCCTGATTCCGAGTAAATCACCTTTAAGAACGAAATTTGTTATCAAAACGTCAAGGATTGTCTTTTTGTTCACGACGTAGATTTATTTCGTGATGGAATGAGTTTTAGAGTCCCAAATCACTAAAGCAAAATTTGAAAAGTTTGCTTTTAATGGTATGTTATTTTTGTCATTGCCACCTTAGAAAAGGGAAGAATGTATTCACGCTTTTTTTTTTTTTTTTTTTTTTTTTTTGCTGGCCATTGAAAAGTAGCCACTGTTCGTCTATTTGGTGAATTTTTTTATTTCTGGAAATCACATTGTGTTCATCTCATGTGAATTTTATGTGATTTGTAAAATATCACGTTTCCTTGTTTTTTGTTTTTTTTCAATCGAACGAAATCTTTCTTTTTTTTTTTTCTTTCTTCCTCTAATTATGCACTTTCTTCCTTCTTTGTCGCTTTTCCTTTCTTTATTCATTTTCTTTCTTTATTTTTTATGAATTCTCAAGCTTTTTGAGCTCTTCAAGCGTTCATTTACTCAATTACTTTTTCTTTTTCTTTTTATCTTACTTATTGCTTAGTTCTTTTTCTTTTCATTTTCTTCATTTTCTTCATTCTCTTTTTAGACTCCTTTTTATTTATTTCTTCTTTGACCATTTTCTCTTTCTTTCTTTCTTTCTTTCTTTCTTTCTTCAATTGTTCCCTTTCTTTCTTTCTTTCTTCAATTGTTCCCTTTCTTTCTTTCTTTCTTTCTTCAATTGTTCTCTTTCTTTCTTTCTTTCTTTAATTGTTCTCTTTCTTTCTTTCTTTCTTTCTTCAATTGTTCTCTTTCATATTTCAAACTTTCTTTATTTTTCTTTCCCAAATTACTTTATATTTTTCTTTTCGATATTTCAAAAGTATTTCTTTTACTTTCGACATTTCTTTCTTGAATTTATCTCTTTTTAGTTTTTTCATTCACTTTTAATTCATCCGTCCATGTTTATTTCTGTAAGAACCTTCAAATACTTTCTTTTATTTACTAACTTTTTCTTTAATTCTCTTTGGTTGTTTATTCGTTTCGGTTTTTTTTGTTCTTACTTAGTTTTAATTGTTCTTTTTTTTCCTTTTTTTCTTTTTTCTTCATTTCCTTATCACATTGTCTTTTTTATATTCTGTCTCTTTACACTCTTGACTTTTTTAATTCTTTCATTCATCCTTTAATTCATTGATTCTTTATTTAATTCTTTCATTCTTTTTTTAATTCTTTCATTCTTTCTTTAATTCTTTCATTCTTTCTTTCATTCGTTTTTGCATTCTTTCTTTAATACTAAATTTAACTCTTTATTTCTTTCTTTAATTCTATCTTTAATTCAATATTTAATTTTTTCATTCTTTTTTAATTCTTTCATTCTTTCTATAATTCTTTCATTCTTTCTTGAATTCTATAATTTTTTAATTCTTTAATTCCTTCATTTATTCTTTCATTTTGTCTTTAATTCTTTCTTTAAATTCTTTAATACTTTCTTTAATCCTTGAATTCTTACTTAGTTCTTTCATTCTTTCTTTAATTCTTTTTTAAATTTCTCTTTCCTTTTTTTTATTCCAGTTCATGTTACTTTGTTTTATTTCCTTTTTTAATATCTTTTATTTAGATTTATTTTCTCATATCTTATATTTCATTCTCTGTTGTTTGTAGACACTCTTTTATTTACACCTTCATTCCATTCTAAAGCTGAACATCGTTTGAAGAAATACTAAGAATTGTGCAAAAGAATTTACCCTTAAAAATTCAATATATGTTAATATTTCAGGATAAAATATGATTTCAAAGTGTCATTTTGCAGGCGGGGTGAATATAAAAATAATTGCATCCAAGTCTTTGAACTTCGATTCAAATAACATTCTGTTCACGGCGTATAACCTTACCTGACACCTGATATTTTCTTCCTCTCCAAGGATCTGAAGAGAGATTCAAACCGGTTTTTATGCTTATATCGAATGTGTTCGTATATATTTTTTTTAATTCCTTTCCTCAAGACGCAAGAAAACTTCTAACCTCGAAACTTGAAATTCTTCGCCCTTTCTAGTAGAAATAATCAACATATAAACCTATTTTTTTTAAATTTTCTTTATGATCTTAGATACTCAAGTAAACATGTTGAGCGTATTAGTCAGCTTGTATATATGCATCATGATTTATTAAGGTGGTGTATTAAACAACTTGCATATCCCGCAAGATCCACCAATATGGCCTACTGGTCAACATCTTAATCTGACACCATCTACTAGTGGTGCCATGTGTGGCGTATTGGTCATCTTATATAGACCATTGTACAAATTAATTGAAACAACGAATAATTCTGTTTTTGAATAATTTACTTTTTTCAGCATTTTTCCAATGAAACATGGCCTAGTGCATATGTTAGTATTTTGTATGTCCATTAGACGAAGTCGTTCCCTGCAGATTGAACATAGATTCTCGATTGGATTTAAATCAGGAGAGTTTTCGAGCCAGTCCTAAGTACTTTGATTTGCTCCCTTTTAAGGCTTGCCATTGTGTTCGTGCAGTGTTACAATTTTCGTGCGCTTTTTTGGTGTAACGCCAATCGCAGACAATGGCTGTAGGACAACTAATCGACAGTCGAGACAGTAGTGTTTGGGCTTGATGAAAGTCTGATGCAATCATGGAGGATGTAATATTTTTCAAGGCGAAACAAATTTAATCACGCACCTTGAAAATAGATTCATATTACTGCACACTACTGCAAATGACATCATCTGAGGAAAAAATAGTAAGCAATTACACACTGTCACTTCAGTGGGTCTAAAACTGGCCGTATGGTGAAGGGGGAAAAAGCTAAAGCAGTTGTTTCAATTAATGTGCACACGGGTATACATAACACTGTATATAACATTGTGAATTTTTATATTTTCTCGTCATCATGCATATCCCATGTGGATAAGTCTTTAATTCTTTCATTTATTCTTTCATTCCTTCTTTAATTATTTCTTTAATTCTTTCTTAACTCTTTAATTCTTTCTTTTATTCTTTCTTTTATTCTTTAATTCTTTATTCAACTTTTTCATTCTTTCTTTAATTCTTTCATTCTTTCTTTTATTCTTTCATTCTTTCCTTAATTCTATATGTTTTTAAATCTCTAATTCCTTCATTTATCTTTCATTCCTTCTTTATTTTTTCTTTAATTCTTTCTTTAAATCTAATTCTCTCTTTACTTCTTTCTTTTATTTTTTAATTCTTTATTCATTTTTTCATTCTTTCTTTAATTCTTTCATTCTTTCTTTAATTCTTTCATACTTTCTTTAATTTTATAATTTTTTTAGTTCTTTAATTCCTTCATTTATTCTTTCATTTTTTCATTAAATCTTTTTTAAATTCTTTAATTCTTTCTTTAATTCTTGCTTACTTCGTTCATTCTTTCTGTAATTATTTTTTCTTTTGTTTAATTTTTTCTTTCTTTTTTAATTTCTTCCTTTTCTTTAATTCTTTCCTTAATTCTATAATTTTCTTTAATATTTCATTTATTCTTTCATTTTCTTTAATTCTTTCTTTTATTCTTTCTTTTTTTAAATTCTGGAGTATTATTAATCTTATTCAACACTATCTAACAGATGGTTTAATATTTGCCAAAAATATCCCGTACATTCAACTAAAGTGGCGTATTGGTCAGCTTGACTATCTCACGCGATTAAACAATGTGGATTATTAGTCATAAGTTATATGACCCGCATTATCCACCAATGTACTATACTGTTCAACTTGTGTATCTTATATGTTACACGAATATGGCGTATCTATCATTTGTATAAATGCGTACATTCTACTAAACTGGCGTATTAGTTATTTTATATATCACGCACGATTCACCAATAGGAGCCATTTTGTATTTCTCGTCGAACCCATCAATAACGGTATAGCAGAATTGGGAAGCATATTGTTCTCGAACATCGATTCCTGCTTTTACTATTTAACCTAAGTAAATCTGTCGCATGTAAATATAAGTGACCTGTTTATCACAAGAAATGCCATGAAGGGCTCGTTGTGAAGCAATGATGACTTACTGTGTGAGAGTAGGAATCTTACTGGAATTTTCTACCTGCTACCCCGAACATCTCATCTATGAGCGTAATATAGATGATATTTCGCCTCGGGCACAGTTCCGGAAATCCTACCATCCTAAAACCACATTCTATTCTTTCACCCGTTAGCGTATCCGGTGTTAGTCTAGGTTCGGTTGGGATGAAGATTAGTGTAGATAAACTAATAACACCCTTTGTAGAACCGGCCAGGTTAACATATATCCCTGTAGACTTGAATAAGACTTACATATACAACAATATCGTATTGTTTTATCTACGGATGATAGTGGGCGATAGTTTGGTTCATCCAGCATTACTTATCCGCAAAGATGTCTTGTATGCATTCAACAACCCTCAATTTTCTTACAATTCCTAGATTTTTATCTTATTTTATTAATGTTTATAGTGATAATCATTTATTATTCTGTTAATGTTTATAATGTTAATAATTTACTATTCTATTAATGTTTATAATGAGAGTGATTTAGTATGCATTAAAAATTTATAGAATTATGATAATAATAATTTTTCTTGTCCCTTCCTTCGTTAGGCCACACTACCGTTACGCCCTGCCAATAACTCAAAGATAATCTAATATTCCCTTCAGATCGCGTGGAAAAAGAGGGAAATGAATCAATAAAATAAATAAGTAAAGAAAGAAAGAAAGAAAGAAAGAAAGACAAAAAGAGAGATTCGAAGACAGAAAGAAAGAGTCAAAGAGAGGAAGAGAGATTCGAAGACAGAAAGAAAGAGTCAAAAACAGGAAGAGAGATTCGAAGACAGAAAGAAAGAGTCAAAAACAGGAAGAGAGATTCGAAGACAGAAAGAAAGAGTCAAAAACAGGAAGAGAGATTCGAAGACAGAAACAAAGAAACAAAGAAACAAACAAATAAACAAACAAACAAATAAACAAACAAACAAACAAAGAAACAAACAAAGAAAAAAGAAACAAACAAAGAAGTGTTTAACGGCTGATTCAGTGATATGGAAAGCGTTTTCAATTTTTTTCATTTGTACCCCCTTACTTCTTTAAATAACGACCAGCATTCATATTTACGATTGTTATTGCGATTTTTTGTTAATTTTTTTAAGCTCAAATATTTCATGATGCGACATTTTATCATAATAGAACCCGCCATTAGCTTATTCAGTCATTAACTTAAGAATTAAGATTCGTCAGAATATTAAAACAGTAAACTGTGAACCTCTCACGGGTTAAAATTCGTTTTATTTAATGATTAAATTCGTAATAGGAGGCCTGATCAAAAATTATCTGTCATGGAGGTATAAAACGAAAACTACAGCATATATCAATTCAGGATTTAATCTCCTTCGAAGTAGTCCCATTCAGAAGTCACATATTTTATCTAGCATGGTTTCCATTGATGAAAAATTTCTATGACCTCCTTTTATGGAATTGCGAGCAGCTGCCTCATCGCATTCTCTTGAAGTCTTGTTCTTTTCAAGTAGGATTTTATTTTCGAAGAGGAAAACGTCGCATAAGGCGACATCTTGGGAATAATAGGGTTGTAGGATTTGTGAATTTTGTTCTTAGCCATAACCTGCTGTACAAGCCGCGCTGAATTAGCAGGTGCGTTGTCATGGAGGAGTGTCTTTTTCCGGCATCCTGCAATCGCCCAAACACGTCACGTCTGTACAAAACGACCCCAGTCGGCCTATATTCAATAGGCTTGGGCTTAGCCCTGGTAAAGTTTTAACCATTTTTTCAGTCTCCCGCGCTAGGGTCGCCTCCTGAGACCGATTACATCAAAATGACACCTACCTAACAAATCGACAGTGATGAGGATCGAGGTCAGGTTGCAAATGTTATATATATATATATGTGTGTGTGCGTGTGTGTGTGTATGTGTGCATTATATATATATATATATATATATATATATATCCGATGCGATGAGAACGAAAGTAATATATAAATTCCAACGTTCACAGCATTAATCCAAAAGAAGGAATCGATAGTAGAGCGATAATTATTCCTTTATTGTAATTTTATCATATAGACAAAGCCATTTTACTCACTACAAAGATGCAACTTGGTTTCAGTGCATTTCAACTGCACTTCGACGCGTGAGAATCGAAAATGGTTATCCATGGTAGTGAGT